GTCAGGGCCACGGCCATGGCTGAGCCACAGGAGGGCTGGGTCAGGGCCACGGCCACGGTTGAGCCCCGGGAGGGCTGGGTCAGGGCCATGGCCACAGCCGAGCCACGGGAGGGCTGGGTCAGGGCCACGGCCCAGGCTCTGGCTGCTTCTGAGCGGGGGCTGTCGCCTCTCGGTGCAGCTGGCGGCCTGTGCTGTCTTATGTAAGCGGGGCTGAAAAGCGCATTGCAGCCCCAGTTTTTCAGGTGAAAGAATGTAACGCGTAGCGGGGTGAACCCCCTGCTGCTTCCTGCTGCCCGAGCCACGGGAGCGTCCTGGGAGGTCCGTGTCTTACCTATAAAATTGACTCCTGCCTGTGAATGTTACTCTGTAGCGCTCTCATAGTCCGGATTAACCTCGTTTTGCTCTGCGTTGCCTTCTCAGGGGGAGGCGAAGAGGCTAGGACTCGTCGGTTGGGTCCAAAATACTAGCCATGGCACCGTGCAAGGACAAATTCAAGGTCCGACTGCCAGGGTACGGGAGCTGCAGGAGTGGCTCAGGAAGGTAGGAAGCCCCCAGTCCTGCATCAGCCGAGCCGAGTTCAGCAATGAGAAGAAGATCACGGCGCTGGAGCACAAGGACTTCCAGATTTGGAAATAACTTTGTCCAGGAGCATGAGCTGCCCACGCAGAGCGCTTCCCCTCTTCCCCGTTCGTTCAGTCAGCCACCATCCGGCTCCGGAGGACTTTATTTTACTGCGTTTCTAATTTATTGAGTTTGTTGCACTGTTAGCCTAACTCTCAGCCTTTCACAAAACGTTGGCAGGTAGGGGAGGAGCTGTGCTATCTTTATTGAAGGGACGCAGCCTCTTCATGTCTGAGCGCCCGCGCAGAGGGGAGTTTGAGTAGTTGCACAGGAGAGAAATTCGTTGTTTGTATAGCGTCACGCTGACGTGGAGGAAATCACAGAATCAATGTCCATACGTAGTGTTGCTGAAAACGCCATTCCTGTGCTCTGAATGCCTCAGAAACAGTCTTGTTTTGTTTTGTTCCAGAACGTCATTTTTCCTTTAGAATAAAATTGCCTGGCGCTTCTTGTGCGGAGTGGATGTGTCGCAGGGGGAGGGGGTTGAGTGGATCGGGCCCTTCGAGCGTCACCCTGTCGCCGATGCCTGCCCCCGCGGGACCGCGTGGTGTCAGG